TTGCTTCCACCTTTTGGCTATTGTGAATAATGCTGCTAGGAACATGAGGGTATAAATATCTGTTCAAGTCCTTGCTTTCAATTTTTTTGGATGTATACCCAGAAGTTGAATTGCTAGATCATATGGTAACTCTATTTTTAACTTTTTGAGGAATCACCATATTGTTTTCCACGGCAGCTGTACCATTTTACATTCCCAACAGCAGTACATGAGGGTTCCAATTTCTCCACATCCTCCCCAACAGTTGTATTTTTCTGTTTTTTTGATAATAACCATCCTAATGGGCATGAAGTGGTATCTCATTATGATTTTGATTTGCATTTCCCTAATGATTAATGATGTTGCGTATCTTTTCATGGGCTTATTGGTCATTCATATATCTCCTTTGGAGAAATGTTTATTCAAGTTCTTTGCCCATTTTTGAATTGGATTGTCTGGTTTTTGTTGTTGAGTTTTCGGAGTTTTCTAAACATTTTGGATGTTAATTCCTTATCAGATTAATGATTTGCAAATATTTTCTCCCATTCTGTGGGTTGTGTTTTTACTCTGTTGATAATGTGCTTTGATGCAGCAAAGCTTTTCATTTTGATGAAGTCCAATTTTGTGTATTTTTTCTTTTGTTCGATGTGTCTTTGGTGTCATATCCAAGAAATCACTGCCAAATCCAATGTCGTGAAGTTTTCCCCTTGGAGCCCAGTATTAATAAGTCATTTTATAAGAGTTATAGAGAACATCTTTAGATGGAGCAAGAAAACTAAAATCCAGAGGAGGGGGTTACTACTTTGCCGTGGAGCCCACATCTTAAGTAATCCTTGCAACTAGACTCTGATCACCTCTGACAAGAAAACAACGAGAAAGAGGGGAGAGCTGCCTCTGATCAGCAGTAACAGGGAACATTAGGGGGAAAGTCTCCATTCCACACCAACATGTACATTCTTTTCCTTTGTAGATCCAAGCCCCTTTACATAATATTGGCGCCAAACAGAGGGGGAGGAGACCCACGGGCTCCAGTTTGCTTAACTGAGTAACTTACTCCACATGGGTCTAATTATCCATGTGTGTTTCCTCACCAACACCCCCATCCAATCTCCCTCCCAATGTGTTGAGTGAATGTTGTGTTCATGGAAGACAGAAACCCTAACAAACAGTTAGGGAAGGACCGAGATCAAAGTGCCGGGTAAGAAACCAAGTCCAGTCCTGTCAAGATGCCTTAATTTAGATTTCTAGAGTCTTCAACTGCTGACCCTGGCTTCCCCTAAGAAAGAAAACAGCATGGTTTGAGCCGCCAAATCACTAACACCGGGATGGCCTCTCCCCGGCAAGCTCACTAATGTATGAATTTGCACATCTGTTCTAAACGCTCACCAGCACGGGCTTTGAGGCAATCCTGTCTAGCTGAGAAGCCTTCTGAATGGGAAATTATAACAAGAGTAATAACGACTGGTCAGAGTTGTACTGTCCCTCCACAGACTGACGCTCGTGCCATCAGAGCCATCATCACTGTGACCTTATTCAGTGTAGGAAAGCTGGAGAAGCAGTCCCGGGTTAGCCCGAGCAGAAGAGAGAACAACCACATGGTTCCTTCTCCCCAGCTCCTCGCTCAATCCTGATGGGCTGATCTCCTCAGGTTGTTGTGATTTAGGGAGGAAACAGGGTAAGATCTGGAAAAGAACTGTTATGGCTGGAAAGGCTTGGGTTTGCACCTTTGCTTTAAGATTTACTAGTGGTTGACCTTGGCTAAATAATTTGCATCTCAGTTTCCTCATCTGTAAATGGGAGTAATTAAGTCCGACTTTGTAGGTCACAAAGGCTGGCAATGGGAAGCGCCCGCCACATTATAACACTGAAAAGCCACACTGTCTGTTCCCATGGTGAGCTGTGTATCTCTCACTGACTCCCCTGGAAGTTCCTCAAGGTCAGGAACCATGTCTTATGTGTCTTCAAGCCCCCAACACATAATAGATTCCCCATAAATATTTGCTGAATGGAAGGCCACGAGAATAATCTCCTTCCCCTAACTCTGTATTTCATTCAGTTGTGAGTTTGAGGTGGAAAAATCATAAAGAACTGTCCCTACTGAGCCTCTGCAGCACTAAACCAGCCTCCTCTCAGGAGCTGCACATCAGAACAGTTTCAGTCTTGTCAGATAAAGGAGGCCTTCATGGAGCAGAGCCACCTCGAAAGTGTTTTGCATAACAATACACCCACAGATTTTAACTGAGCACTCTTCCCCCAATTCCTTGTGGATTCATTAAACTGACAGCTCGGCACCAGCATATTGATGCCTGTTTTCTCTCTAACACAAGCTGTACAAGTGCCTCATGTAAATCCACTCTATAAATTTTTAAACAATTATGTAAAAACAAAAAAACCCAGAAAACAAAGAAAAGATGCTGGGTTGCATTACTTCACTAAAAAACAATAAGTGTCTCCTTTCTGTCCTCTGCCCACTCTAATTGGGTATATTTGGGTTTTGGTGGCTTCCCTTTGCTCAAAGAGTCAATTGCAGCAGCTTCTTCTTCCCCCTTAAAGAAGACCGTGCTCGGGCCAACACCACTCCGCGTGCTGGGCCTCGAGAAGACAAGGAGCTCGCACCAGAATGTAAATTAGTGCATTGCTTCCTTCTTCAGAAAGTCTTGCTATAAAAAAAATGTCAGCTCAACTAAACAGGGTGTTTAGTGCTGAAGCTGATGTACATTCTGGTACAATCTCCTTATAGACAGGTAACAAAGAGCTCAGAGACTGGCACCGCCTGTGCATCACACTTCGAGAAGCACTGTTCTAGGTTACAGAACTCCTCATCTGCCTGACACATACTAGACTGACATTTACGATGGACTTTGGAGGATGTTCTGGCCACCTAGTATCCTTGCCCCTTCTTTTGGTAAATCACTCCAATATGAGGATCTGCCACACCCTCTCTCAGTCTATGGGATCCAGGTGGGGATCCTGTATGACTGGGGCAGGCCAAACAGTGTTCTGTGAATGGTTCAGGGAGGCCATGATCCAGGGCTGGCCAATCAGCATAATTCCACCCTCCTGGTTAGCTTTCAGACTTGGGATGGGCAGTGGCCCTGACTGATGCAATCAGAATGAATCCTGGGACTCTTGCAGGAGCTACAAGGAAGACAGTCTCTTTCCACTAGACTTAAAGTTGTGAGGATATGATCCGGGAGTCAACAACCATGAAGGGAGAGCCTGGCTGTGAAATGGAGCAAAGACAAGACACCAGAACTGAGAGACAGAGAGACAGAAACTGGATTCTGAGTATGTCATTGGAACTTCTGGATCAAGCCACGCCTGAAGCAGACTTCTACTTTATAACTTTTCACTAACGCGAATCAGTAGATTTCCCTTTTGTTTAGAGCAGCTTGTGAGCTTTCTACCACTTGCAACCAAAAGAGTCTGAAGTTATGCACGACTACTATACCCTGGGCTCATTCTAAAACCCATACATATTCGTCCTAAAGAGACAAATCTGAGAAGGCAAAATGTGGGGAGTCAGAAGAGTTGCTACAGTCTGGGACTAGAGGCAGGTTCCCCCACTTTCCACAGCTGAGTTCCTTCCTCTGTCAGGTGATTAACATCTGCCTCACCCATCACCTGTCAGGTGACTGTGAGAATCAAACAACAAGATACAGAGGAAGTCACTGGGGAAATGTGTGAAAAAGCACTGTACAAACAAAAGGCAGTAGTAGTAGTAGTAGTACAACACCTTACTTATTCAAACTTCCAAATTCTGGCATCCGTAACTCTCCAGATCCTATAAAATCTGTAAAAGCCTTTGAACAACACCACATTGTTTTTTCATCAAGTCCTACACTCTGCTATAGGAGAGGATGCTCCCTCTGCAGCCAGAGGGTGTAAGGTGAGGCAGCAGACTCCCAGGAGCCTGACAGAACCGAGAGGCAGCCGGAAGCCAGTGCTGGCCTCCTGTTCTGGGCTGAGCACCAACCTGCACTGAGGGTCATTTCTTAGGCCCACCCAGGATGTTTCTCCCCCATTGCACACATCATCCCATCTACTCAAGCTTACGAATCATGAAAGAAAAATGATGATTTAATTTAGAAATTACCGCTATTCATTCCCAACCACTATTCTGCAACTTTGGAGTGGTCCTAACAATAATATTATCATCCGGTGAGGCAGATTTTGTTTGTTTGTTTTTACTGTTTTCATATCCGAGATCTAAGGGACCGACATAACAACAAACTTTACAGAAAAACACTAGATTGTTTGCAAATTTCACATTTTTCCAAAAGTCAGAACACAATCATTTTCTGATAGATAAAAACAGTTAGCAATTAGCGTACAAAACGGGAAGAGTCATTATTACCGGTCCTGATTTTTAAGCCACGTTCTGAGTCTCTGGTCAATGGTGGTATTAATGGATTCTCTTTTGACGGCAAAATAAATTTTTGGAGTTCCATATATAACGTAACTGGATGAAGTTTGTTCTTCACAGTGCCCTCCTTTGAGGAGCTCAGTCCTGGGGGGAGAGGGCGGGGGACGGAATGGACACTTGTTTTCCTAGGGCCCCGTGTACTGGGTATCAACTCTGTGCCAAGCATGTACATCCATGACTAAGCCCAGCATGGCCCAGGCCATGTTACTGGTGGGCAGGATTTTGGCTCCCCGGAAGCAAGGAGCAGACTGAGCCCTCCCTCCTTTCTCCCAAGGATGGGCTGTGATCACGCAGAGCAGGCTGGCCCTGTGTGCGGCTGGCTCCATACATGTCACCACTCTGTCTCCCTGTGTCTCCGTCTGGGCCTCTCCATCTTATAAAACAAGTTGGCCCTTCCTTGTTATCGGGTTATCTTCAGCTCAGGGAGTGGGGGGAAAGGCTCCATGTTGGCCTCAGGTCCAAGACTTATTCTCCAACGTAGCTGTACCAGCATTAAAGCTGATGCTTTGTCCCCTATTGATCTGAGGCACAATAAGTTAAAAGGCAGAGGGGAAGAGGAGAGAGGGACTGTCCCCCCAAAACCTCTAACACTTACCAGTCTGGACAATGCTCTGGAACCAGCATAGATTATACCCACAAACAGCACTGAAGCAGGAAGCCACGTCAAAACATCAGATCTGGAAAGAGGGAAAGACACCACAATAGTTCTGTCACTTTATGTCCAAAAGACCTAGCTGGAAGGTATGACCCTTCTGATGCACCAAACACAGCGATAGTGGCTGTCTAAACATCTCTGAGTGATTTGTGAAGTGTGACGTGGTCTGTATCCGTTGAGAGTGATGGAGGCTGACAAAGCCATCTGCCTACAGCCTGTCACTCTGCCAACTACCCAGCATTACTGACCCCACAACGGGGCAGAGACAAGCTGGAGAGAGAAAAACCCTTCCTGCAGGTTGGCAGAGAGAACAGACTTGATTTTTTTTAAGGAGCAGTGAACATTATTCTTTGGATTTTAAGTAACCAAAGGCTTTGAACCTATGCCAAATTATTAAGAATTTTAAAAGGCTATTTATCGAGGCAATTTATCAAACAGCTCCATGGAATCACAACAAAGGGAACCACAGTGTCAAAGGACAGAATTTAAAAATAAAAGAGTGCTAGAACTTGAGCTGGGTGGCCATGTGCGACTTCCTCAACCATGAACCTGGAAGGCCGGTTCAGGGAATCTCTCGGGACTTGGAAGGGCGCATTTCTGTGATTCAATTGTGGCCACACCAAGAACTGCTTTCTCATTACAGTTTAGAATCTCGCTCTCCCCAAGAAAAGCAAAATCCCAGTTTTTACATAGAGTGCATATCAGTAAGGTTGCAACCTGCTTTCCCCATCAGTTACAAATGCACTGGCCCACTAATTAAAGTTCCCAGAGTAATTCTAACAATAGCTATAAATAAACAAAACCATTCCAGCAGAATATAACATAATAATCCCAACTAACTCCATGAACTGCTCTCCTAGGACAGTGCCTGCTCAAGAAATGATCTTTGTTAATGTTATTAGCATGGACAGGCACTCTACCCATGATCAGACCTGCTTTTGTACAACTTCCCAGGGAACCTGGCATTAAAATGTTTCCAGTCTCTAATAAGGCCCTCAAAACCTACTTCCTATATACATTCACTCAGCAAATACTTATAGCAATGTGCACGGTACTGACAGCACCAGAGTCAGTATTAACAGCGGCATCTCAGGTGACATTTGTTGAGTACTTGCTACAAGCCATGCACTGTGCTAAATGTTTTCTATGCTGAATCTTTTAAAAATCTGCATGACAATCTTATGAGGAAAATATTATTATCCCCATTGTGCATATGAGGAAACTGAAGCACAAAGAGTTTAAGTAATTTGCCTGTGGTCAGAAGAGCTGGTAATGGCAAAGCCAGAATTTGAATTCAAGTCTGTCTGACTCTAAAGCCTAGTTTTTAACCTCCCTCTCATACTTTACCCTCAAGGACCTCACAATCTAATGGGAGACACTCACATATAAATAGATAAGCTGCAAACACAACAGGATTTTGCTCTGGTAGCAGACCAAGCAGCTAATGATCTGAGGAATATTCTCTGTTATTACTAGTCTTGCTGCAATAATAGATGTCTGCACTTCCAACCAAAAGGTGAACAGAGAAAGGAAGATGCCATCCTCCATCCTCATGCGTCAGGCGTAACGTCAGCCCACTGCTACTCTTCCAGGAAAAGGCTTTCCCGTTAGACAGTAAGGGTCAAGGGAGGCAGGATCCAGGCCCATGGCCTGCTGGGCACCAGAGGGAAGCCCAGAGCACACACTGTCGGAGCACTGAGGAGGAAGGAGAGCGCTGGGTGGAACTTTGGAATGTCAGGTCAGAGAGGCCCCAGACATTCCCTCCTACACAAAGAAAACCGCCGGGTCACACACTCCACGAGACATCAGGACATCTGAGTGGCCACGGACATGAAAAACAAAACATGGCTAGGGAACATCTTGTATTTTAACCCTTCTACCCTAAAATACAAAGAAGTAACTTCAACTAGAAAAAATATACACAGGTCTGGTTGGACCAAAGAGACTTCTGGGAAATGTTACAGGGCAGCTGTGCACGCATTTGGTTCCACACATGGGACCGTGACCCAGGCACAGTGGCGCCGGTGCTTGTGTCCTCCACAGTCACCTCACTCAGCACCCACCTTCAAGGTGGATGCAGCCAAGCAACACGCACTGATGGCGGAACTGTGGACGCCGGCGGAAGGGCTGGTTGCAGAGCCCTCTCTTGGCCCCCCAACCTCCTACCCGTGAGACAGCTGCCCTCCTCCCCCACACACCAACATGAAGCTGCAGCTGCTAGTAAGAGTAGTAAATACGAACCACTGGAAAAACTGCTGCCAAAACAGGTGTGGGCAAGGCAAGTGTGAAATGATGGGGGAAAAGGAAAAATCATTAAAAATCCAGAAGGGTTCTCCATTCATATTGTTTCAAAGCAGCCAAGTTCTCATTCTACTGCACAGAGTATATGTTAAGTGTTTATGCAAGAAAAGGCTTGAGGGAACACTAGTTGACAATCCAAATGCAAAGGAAAAGCCTTACCAAAAGATTAGCAAATGAATGCATATTTATACACCTTAACTTAAAATAGATTGTTTCAGGCCGGCCCCGTGGCTTAGCGGTTGAGTGCGTGCGCTCCGCTACTGGCGGCCCGGGTTCGGATCCTGGGCGCGCACCGACACACTGCTTCTCCAGCCATGCTGAGGCCGCGTCCCACATACAGCAACTAGAAGGATGTGCAACTATGACATACAACTATCTACTGGGGCTTTGGGGGTAAAAAAACAAGGAGGAGGATTGGCAATAGATGTTAGCTCAGAGCCAGTCTTCCTCAGCAAAAAAAAAGAGGAGGATTAGCACGGATGTTAGCTCAGGGCTGATCTTCCTCACACACACAAAAAATAGATTGTTTCATCAAAAAATGACTCTTTGATCTATCTGAATTTCAATTAACTCACTGTCTAATAGAGTCATATAAGGGAACTTCTGCATATATTATTAATGTATCCCCCACCCCTCAAATAAACTGTAACTTTCATACAGGTGAGAGCCATGTGTATTTTGCTCAGATAAATAAATGTAAAATATTACATTGATAAATGTTACAAAGGAAATTAAAAGACTATGCTATATCATAAGAGCATCTACAGGGAAACCTTCCTCAAATAAGTGATGTTTGAGATAAAACTGAAAGTTAAACTGGGTACAGGGGGTGGGGTAGAGAAGTAGAAGGGACATAACATTCCAGACACAAATACAGCATATGCAAAGGTCCTGTGGCAGGAGGAAATTAGAGGAAGGCAAGTGTAGCTAGATGGAGAGTACCCAGAGGTAGAGAGGGTGTAATATGATCTGATTTGCATTTTGAAAAGATTGCTCTGGCTACAGTATGAAGACTAGACTGGAATGGGGTTAGGGATGTGCGGGCAGGAGATCAGTTATGTGAACATTGCAGTGGTCCATCCAGACAAGAGATGATGGAAATGGAGAGAATGGAACAATTTGAGAAAGCAATAAGACTTCGTGATAATTTCTACTGGAGAGGTGAGGGATAGAAGACACCAAGGATGACTCCCAGGTTTCCAATTTGAATAGTGGGATGGATGGTGGTGTACTAAGATACAACAAACTGGAAGAAGTTTGATTGGGAGAATCACAAACTCAGTCTTGAAAATTATGAACTTAAGATGCTTTTGGAACACCCAACCAGAAATGTCAAGTAGGGACCTGGATATATGGGTCTGGGGACCGTCACCTGTTCTCTAGGGAGCAAGAACGCACTATTAAATACGTCTTACGTTGGATTTTCCTGTATGCCCTCATCTCTCAGTTTTAAGCATTAAATTCAAATACATTTTCTTCAACAAAATTTCCCTCCTTGGTCCATTATTCACAACAATAAGAGTCTTAAGACTTTGGCACAAACTTATCCTTCATTAATTATTTATTCTTAAGTTCTAGGCAACACTGATCTCACAAAATTTACATGCTAGTGGGAGAGAAGGTCAGCAAACAGACGGCAGCAGTCGTGGGGGTGCACACTCGGGTCTCCCTCCAAGACAGAACATGCCACAAAGAGTGTAGACAGTGGACAGCTGCACTGACATAAGTGGAAGAATTGTTTACATGTGCTGCTTCGGGAATTAGAATTTTCAGATCTCTGATTTACAGGATTTCCACGACTATTCATGTGCTATCACAACACGAGGGGTCAGAACTTTCAACAGTTATCTGGGGCAGATAAAATCTAAGACAACTGGGTCTTCCATAATTTCCCAGATAGTGTGGGGACAGTGAAGACATGAGCTACAAGGGTGGTGCTGCTTTGCGCTTTTGCCATCTCTTGAAATATTTTTTAAAAATTATTTCTTCAGTAAGAGATGAAACTATGATTAAAAAATCCTAGTTAGCTCTGCTATAACTGAGGATTACTTCTATGGAAATATAGCAATAAGTGATGGAAATCATACCTGGTTCTGGGCACTGGAGAGTATAATCTTATAACATTCACATGGTTACCCAAATCTTTGGAAATTATAATTAGCTCTCTTCATTTCTAAGGAATGTTCCAGCAGTTAGCTGACTAACTTTAGCCAATAGCTCTAAGGGATGGACAAACTTCACACATGTCCCTGGGCTGTGCGTTTTCTTCTAGGTCAGGTCATCTAGGCCTGGGGTCATCTGGGCGTCCTCTAGGTCATCTAGGGGTGGGGGCAGGAAGGATGCACAAGTACAGAGCAGGGGGGTTTGTGCAGTGGAAAGAATGTGCTTTGGTGGTCAGGCAAACCTGGATTCATATCCCAACTCTAAAGATAGCTTAAGAAATAGAAGTATAATGATGTACACCTGAAATTTATACAATGTTATAAACCAATGTTACTGCAATAAACAAAAAATTAAAAAAATAAAAAATAAAGCTAGTTTGCAAGGAGAACTCAGTTTTTCCATTTATAAAATGGGATAATAATGCTCAGAAAGCTACTGAGAAGACTAGCTAAGAGAATGAACATGCAGTACTTGGGGCAGTGCACGCATGGCACAACGATGCTCAATAAATGTTCTCCTTCTGGCTTTTCTACATATAACTCCAAGGACAGAAGCCAT